TCTCTTAATGTACTCTTGCCAATTTTACTCCAGCTAACTAGGACCTGGATGAGATAGGACACAAAACAGAAAGGTTGGCCAAAGAACTCGGTAATCAGAGTGAAGTTTTAATGCAGTATTTAAAAAGAAAGAAATCAATGCAAAAATGCATGATAAAAATATCAAAATTGTAAATAAAGGCAGGACTGATACTATGCGGGCTTGGGCTTCCCTTTGCTTCAGACTCTAAAATGCCTTTAAGGGACTCTAGCAGCTAGAACGATTCCCGTTTATCTTGCAGTGACCTCCCACTCAGGTGTTTATACTCCTTAAATGTCCTCAAAGTTAGTTGTCAAAGCCCCTTTCCGCATTAGTTCCCTCTTTGAATGCACCAGCGTTATCTCTGGCTCTGTTCTATCAGGAAAACCTATTTCCCCCTTGCACTTTGAAGGCAATCTGAATCATCTTGGATACTTTCCAGTACCTTCCTAAACCATCGTGGGCAGGCACTCAGCACCTCTTTCACAGAGCTCTGGTTCAAACTGGCTGAGCAGCCACTGGACCTAGCTAAGGGTTTTGGTCTAGACTCCAGAGAGTTGTTATTATTATTTTTTTCTTTTTAATTCTCTAGCAAGATTCAATAACCAAGGTATTTTGCATGAAAAAAGCTACATATCAATCACTTATTTATGAAATAAAATCCGCAAACTCAGGTCTAATTTTTTCATGCTAGCCTAGGGCATTTCCAGCAGGACAGCTGTGCTGTCTCTTAAGCTGGCCTGGCCCCCTCCCTCTGCTTCACTCCTTTACTGAGAGTGCCAGGCCCCATTAGCTTTTGCATTTTGTCACCTCTAGGTAAGCTTGGGACTGAATAAAACCCCACCTGCTGGGCCCACATTCCTGTAGCACGTTTTCTGGTTGTTCACTGAGTGCTGGCTTGCAGCGGTTCACAGAATCAGCCCATCTTTCCAGCCTACAAACTTCTCACAACCCGGTGCGACTCTTACTGCCTGGCCCTCCCTGACCCGCGTCTCCCGGCCTTCCTCCATTTGTCCCCTGGGCTCCCGGCCTGAGGCCCAGCCCCGAGCCCTGGGCCACTACCGATCTTTGCCCCGGGCCAGGGCGCAATGGCTCG